TCAGGCATTCATAATGTATTTCACGCATCTATGTTGCGTAAGTACGTGTGCGACCCAGATCATGTCATCCCTCATACAGATATTCAGGTTCAGCCAGACTTGTCGTACGAGGAGCGACCGGTAGCTGTATTAGACCGTCAGGTCCGTCGGCTCCGGAAGCGAGATATTCCCCTCGTGCGCATTCAGTGGGATCGCCACGAAACTACCTGGGAGGAAGAGTCGGACATTCGCGCTCGTTTCCCAGATTTTCGGTTTTGATGTACATATTTTGTATCTTATGTACCCAGTTCATGTATTCAGCTATGTTTTGAATTTCCGAGGACGGAAATTTTGTAAGGAGGGAGGATTGTAATATCCCGATATTTTATCGGTATAAATTACGTTCTAATTCCGATATAATAATGTTTATCGTTTATTATTTTCGGAACTAATTAAGTTCAGTCAGGATTACCGAAATTTATTTTCGACGTACCATTTACGTTCGAAATAATTTTGGTAATTAAGCATTATGTTTAATTGTATAATTAAACATACATGGAGTGATTAATTTAATCATCCTAAGGAGATCATTAGCCGTAAGCTTAGTATTAATTTTTGTTCAATTTATAATCAATTTGCCGTGAGTTTTTCCTTAGGCCGAGGAAAAAGAAATGGACCAATCAAAATTAGCTACTTGTCACCAAAAGAAAGAACTTAGTCATCAAATGTTACATAAGGTTTAAGCAAGTGTATGAAGGGGGAGAAATCCACGCCATCACCTCGTCATACCCATCTCCCTCTCTCGGCAAGTATATAAGAGGAGTTAGAACCGAAATTTCTCCCTCATTTTCCCTAAGGAACCGATCAGCAAGTATAACCCCCTTCAACATCAGCAATTACCCCTTATATTCAGCAGCATATTCAGCAAATTTTCCCTAAGTTATCTTCCACAATCGCACGACAAAGCTTGACCTATCGCACGGCGCACGAAAGTAAAGGAGGCACGCCCTATTTCCGAGTTCCGTCGAGCAATCAGCAAGGTAAATTCCCTCTTAATTCATAGTCATGTTAGTAAGTTGATTTAAGAGTGATTTGTTCGGGAAATTCGAGTAAAACATGCTTAAAGCCATGCCTATGTTCGATTAAATCTAAGTAAGTTTATGACCGAGCAATCTTTGATTTCTCTCGGCAACTCTCG